AGTGCCCTGTTATTTTCTTTGGTTTACCATTGAGCGTTGCACTTATTTGGAATTCCTGGTTACTGATATATGGCTTTGTCCCTTGTTGTTCTGTCTCTTTGTTTCCCTTGACCCCAGCTTGTGTTTTGACTATCCGTTTTTGCATAACCCAACCATTCTAAGGATCGGTATTGCAATTCTCTCTACTCTGTTTGCGTGTTAGGGTTCCCTAGTGAACTTTACAATCTGGAAGATATACTGATTGTGAACCAATCAAAAGGAAGACTGATAAGAGATACAGAGACAGTCATTCAGGACTTACAAGATTTCGGCTGTATTATAACTTCAACAAATATCAACTGCAACCATCAAAGAGAACAATGCCCCCAACTATCGGTTTAGTGAGGTGGGCACACTGGAACCTGAGAATAAAACAGAAAAAAGCAATCAAGAATGGAAAGAAAAGATCTGGATCACAGAAGAAGTAAGAATGTATCTTCATGTCATGTATTCATCCGCACATAAAAATGTGGTTAATGGCATTTACTGTCGTGACAGGAAAAGTTGTGCCAAGCAGCAATCATGCACATGGAAAGCTGGTAATTACTTTTGGGGTCAAAGGCCGATCATGGCCAATCAAATCCACAGGACAGTTTGTGCTGAGCAGCAATCATGCACATAGAAACCTGGTAATTGCCTTTGGGGTCAAAAGCCGGTTACAGTCAATCGGATCCGCAGGAGGGGTATTTAAACCCAATTCTCCTCTTGCTCATTGCCCTGTCATGGTTTCATGCCTATGGTTATCCGAGTGTGCCTTCCTGATCTTCATTTTCTGGTGTTTTACTTTGGCTTTGTTTTGACTTCCCTGATATCTGGTATCCTTGACTTTTGGCTTTCCCTCATCTTTGTGTCTGATTCTGTGTCCCTGACCTCTGCAAGCATTTTGACTATTCTTGGAGATGTTAAGTCCAGGCATTCTAAGGTCCAGTTATATGTTATCCTTAGTCCTAGGTGTGACACAGTAGTGGGGATATTATGGGGCTGTGGTGGGGGGGCATGGGGCTGAGTAAGGGGACAGGAGCTGAGGGAGGACAGGAGCTGAGAGTGGGACAGGAGCTGAGGGGGGCAGGAGCTGAGAGGAGGAACAGGAGGCGGAGGGGGACAGGAGCGGAGAGGGGGGGGAAGCTGAGGGGCAGGAGCTGAGAGGGGGGCCTGGAGCGGAGGGACAGGAGGCGGAGAGGGGGACAGGGCGCAGAGGGTGGGCCAGGAGCTGAGGGGGGTGGTGGCAGGAGCTATGGGGGGACAGTAGCTGAGGGGACAGGAGCTTAGAGGGTGACAGGTGCTGAGGGAGGAGCAATAGCTGAGGAGGGGCAGAAGCTGAGGAGGGGGCAGGAGCTGAGAGGGGGGGCAGGCGCTGAGAAGTAGGGACAGAAGCTGAGGAGGGGACAGGAGCTGAGAGGGTGGGACAGGAGCTGAGTGAGGGATACAGGGGCTGAGGAAGGGGGACAGGGGCTGAAGAAGGGGACAGGGTTAAGGAAAGGGACAAGGGAAGGGGCTGAGTTAGGGGACAGGGTTGAGGAAAGGGACAAGGGAACGGGACATGGGAAGGGAGCAGGGGCTGAGCAAAGGGACAGGGGCTGAGGAAGGGGGACATGGGATGAGTAAGGGGGACGGGCTGAGGTAGGGGGATCAAGGGCTGAGCATGGGGAAAGGGGCCGAGGAAGGGGACAAGGCTGAGGAGGGGGATAAAAAAATAAAAAAGCCACACAAAAAAAAAATACCTAAAGTGTATTCCCCCTCTCCCTGGGTCTTATCTTAGGCCATGGAGGGGTGGGCAGGAACCAGGATCCAGCAGGAGCAGGAGCAGCGCCATACTCCCCAGCAGTCCTGGGAGAAGAGCAGTGAAAGTCACGCCCCCTTCTCCTGACATCATCAGGATAGGCCGGCTGACTCCACTGGCTGCAGGGAGAGTGAGGTAAGTTGAAAAATCCGAGTCCCCAGCCAGAGGCAGAGGATTCTGATTTTTCCTTTTGCTAGATGTGGGCGGCCCTGGGTTTAGGGCGGCCTGTGGGGCAATTGCCTCCCGTCCCAGCGCGCCCCTGGCCATCACCTCAGCCAGAAGAGCTTCAGAATTACAAGCTCTTTCATCTGATCATCCTTTTACTCAATTTGTTGGGAGATAAGGTGGTTCTAATATTCATTTATAAGGTTCCTTTCCTAATTTCACCTGAACCAGAAGATTATACGACCTTCTTTTTTGGAAAGTCCTTCTTCTGAAGAAGAATCTCTTTGGCATACTTTGGATGGGGTTAGGCCTTTATGCATTTACCTTGATCGTACTAAAGAATTTATTAAGTCAAAAAGACTTTTATTGTACTTCTGTGGTTACCATAACTGTATATTTGCCTCTGTTTCTACTATCAGGAAATGGATTACTTCTGCGATTCAGAAAGCTTACAGGGTCACTGACAAACCAGTGCCGGAAGGTGTTAAAGCTCTTTCACCTAGGGCTGTCTCTGCCTCTTTGGCAGATACTTCTACAGAATAAGTTTGTAGGGCTGTAGCCTAGTCATCTTTCAACACTTTTGTGAGGCACTATCGCCTAGACGTCTCAGGCTCCTGTGCCTCCTCATTTGGGGGAAATGTCCTATGTCCACAACTAATATTTGATTCAATATGGTATAGCATTGATATGGTATAATTTTTTTTTTTTTTTTTTTTTAATCACCCACCCTTTACTTTTGCTTGGGAAGTCCCACAGGTGATGATGACATGGATTGGCCAGGAAAACAAAAAAATTGTTAAAATACTTTAATTGAATTTACATACAAAAATATGAGCTAAATGGCAGACTTTAATTTTCTTTTCCTGGCCAATATCCATGTCAGCATCAACAAACCCTCCCTTTTTTCTGTACTGACTTGGTTACGAGACTGCTTATTTTGGGGAGGTGGATTCCTTATATACCATCATTTGGAATTTAGATTCCTGACCTATCAGCTGAGAGGAAGGAGCTAACTCACAGGTGATGCTGACATGGATATTGGCCAGGAAAAGAAAATTATGTTAAGTACTGTAACAATTTTGTTTCAAGATTGCCTGTTTATTGAATTAAAAATTTTCCGACATATATTACTAGATTTATACGGGTTGATAAGAAACCTAGAATATTAAAAAAAACAACTTATGCTCCAGTCAGAGGAAGTTTATGCCCAGTTTAGAATGATAAATCGAGTCTAGTATGATGAAGCCAGGAAAGGCACATTCAGATTACTCTGGTTTTCAAGTAGATACCTTAGCCCAACATCCAGGGGTGGTTACTATTACTCACTTTAATGGTACTCATGTTATCTACCTTGGAAGGATGAAGGGCTGAGCCAACAGGATTCAAACCTGGGACCCAAGGGTTGAACAGATTCTACTGATGATCTATTAGCCCACTGAGCTATCTCACCAGCAGCTCAAATTGGAATGCTTGCTCTGGCTCCATCAGGATAAATTTTGTATATTGAGAAGGAAAAAAAAAAAAGACAGATGGCAAGGATTACTAAGGACTGTATTGACTTTTGGTTAATATTCAAGTAACGTATAGGCATGAAAGATAAATTATTGACATCTTGCCCTTTGGAGATTCTACAAAATAATACAACTAAATAATAATTGAACTGAAACAAAACAACTGTGTATATTTCAAAGCTCTTAAAACTCGGGCGGATCTCACGAGATTTACACTGTGAGCAGAACGGAGCTGACAGAGGAGCTGCACGGAGGAGAAGTGAGCTGACAGGAGCTGCAGGAAGGTAAGTAACAGCTCACTGTCAGCCCCCACAGGACCACCGGGCCAGACTGACTCGAGTATAAGCCAAGTTGGGGTTTTTCAGCACAAAAAATGTGCCGAAAAACTCTGCTTATACGCTAATCGAAGGGGGTGACGGAAAAGAAAAAGCTTTCCTCCCTTTTTAACCCCTTAAGGACCAAGCTTCTGGAATAAAAGGTAATCATGTCATACATGTCATATGTCCTTAAGGGGTTAAGGAAGAGGATCTAGACAGATCTAGCTGAGGAAACTGAACTTTTTTAAACTTACAATAACTTATTTTCCAGGTGATTCCCCATGGCAGAAATATATATATATATTATTGCCTTTTATATAGCGCCAACAGATTCGTAGCGCTTTACAATATTTTGAGAGGGGGGGTGTAACAATAAATAGGACTATTACATGAAAACGAGCTTACAGACTATAGGGTAAACAATTCCTGGTAATACAACGTCAGGCTCTATAGAATAAGACTGCTGGGAATCAGGGTGGATATCTATCATAGTTTTAGCACCAAACTCCTGTCCTGCAAAATTTTAGTAAGCTGGAATAAATCTTTTCTCCTGGTCACTTTTGGTATAGCTCCACCTAAAGATCTATACAAGCATATAAGCAATCCCCCCCAGACCAGCAATCATCTTTTCCTTGTTCCTCACCTATCAGGCATGTTGCACCCAGTTACAAGTGTTGTTTTTAGGGCAGATTTTCTAATTTAAATTGTTTTTCTAGGGGAGGTCCATTAAACATCTTTAAAAAAAACAAAACAAAAAAAAACAGCCTAAAAACAATGGATCAAATTTCACAAGTACCTTGACACTGCTGAATCCATGTAACTTTGCGGATGCACTATAGTATTAATACCCCTGAGTCATTGGGAACAAAATGTCCTGACTGGCTATTTTCAATTCTAACCATATTTGACAACTGATGCCAGCACAGACAGAATGCTGGCATTAGCCAGCCAATGGCAGCATGTCCTCCTCACAGCCCTTCCCTTCCCTGACATCTGGTGCTTGGAGTAATCCCTCAAGGAAATGTACCCAAGCATTTTTTTTTTTGCAAATAACTTTAAGAGGTTTTTCTAACATATTGTGATAATTTCTGATGCTGATCTAAACAAATTAAATTGGGGCCTAAATTAGTTTAGAAGAGCATGCAGTAGATCTTAATCTGATTAAATGAACACAATAATAAATGAAGAACCACAAGAATGCAGAACTTTTTATTATGAAAAAAAGTAAGGTAAACAACATTGTTTAATCAACAGCATTAACAGCAGAACTGTAGCAAAAAGATTGTTTAGCGAGACATACTTTATGATCATGGGCCCGTAAAGTTAGTCTTTACGGAACCTTTATATTCATTATGCAATTTAAATATAAAAATGTTGCCCCGCTGATCAGTTCCCTGAATCTGAAAAGATCATCAAAACACCATCATCCATATTTGTTGAGATCTGCAACTATTTTTTTTTATTTTTTTTATTTTTTTAACTTGGCTCATATTTTGTCTAGAAAACCTGATCTTGATTATCTATGTATGCCAGTGTCATCTGTAAGCAAAACAGATTATTTAGTGGTCCATCCACATAGATGGGGTAGGGGAAAGAAAACAGGGACAACTGTAGGGAGTTTTTTTTTTAAAACCAAAACAAAAAATATTCAGATTGAGCCCAGCAATGTACTGTTACTTTTCAAGTACCAAATAAATGATGCAGCTGCTTAAAATGTATGCAGTCCACATTCATTGCTTGTGACGCAGGCCATTACACTGGCAAGAATATTTTCACAACTACTACTGACCCTCATGCGCTGCACTGGGAAATTCTGATCACTCCGCTCAGAAAGGACATTCAGGATCCAGAGGGGTAAGTAAAGCATAAATAAAATTGTACAATAAAACTGTACAAGAACATACAGGTGAAAAAACAAAAAAACAACGGTTTGAATTTGTAATATGGAAACGAACCTACCAAGAGAAAATAAAAATAGTAAATGTACTGGTATCTTGGCTCTGTAACATAGGCTTTGTACAGAACAGTGCTTGAACAATTTCAAGCCACAAATCGCCTTTCTATATTTAAATGGTCCCCTTACAGGAGTTTCACAGTAAAAACAATACAAAAAAGGGTTGTCCACTTTAGCTCTCTCAAAATTCAAAACAAGGTTGTGTGGTGCCACTGAAGACCTCTTCTTCCTCTGCAATTTGTTAGTCAAAGTGGAGAAACAAAATGGAACAGAAACACAAACAGCCCTATGCATTGCGCAAGACTCAGCCCACGGTGACAAATCTGCTGCCTTTGCCGAGCGTCTGTGATAATCTTTGCTCCTTCAGGATCTTAAAGCGTTCATTTAATGTTATTCCAGTCTAAGAATTAAAAGAAACAAACTGTAAATAACTGTTCACCCAGTTGTTTATGTAATAGTTCAGTGTGTAGATTACATATTCATAAGCATAACCAAACTGCCAATAATGCAAAGTGAAAGCAAAATTATTATTTCAGAGCATTCCTCTCTTGTTCAGGGCAACTTCCCTTAATAGGCTAAATAACGGCTAGGTAATGAGCAAAGACATTCAAAATGGAAAAACCTCACTACCCAGTTTTTCTAAATCATTAGAGTTTGCTAAAAAAAAATAAATAAATAAAATTATATATATAAAATAAAAGATTTATGTCTATACATATAACATACAACATATGCAAAGGCTGCTCTACACTGCTTAATCATTTGCAAATCCAAAAGGTAATGCACTATATACCTATGGCATTATAGGGACGCAGAACACACACATACCTGTTTTGCAACACTGTTTATATCAAAATCTAGAGGAACACCTTTGGGAATTTTTGCTTCTGCGCCTTCCTTTTTCAACAGGAAAGGGAGCTGCGGTCGAGGCGTCCTTGTACCCAAAGAGCTTCTGTACACAAATAACAGACCATGTAAGAATTTAAGTGGAGACATACCAACTCAAAAAAAAAAAAAAAGTCTGTGCACCTTAATTTCATTGCAACAAATCTGTTATGGTGCAGTGAGGTTCTGGGTGCATTCTTACCTTAAGGGGTTAAACCAGGGCTTGACAAATCCCAGGCACCCCCCCTCCCATGGTGTGCCGGTCTCGCCATGGCTGGCTCCATCTCCATGGCTATCAATCAAATGCTGTGCCAAATCAGCATCTCCTCATAGAGATGCATTGAATATCTACGGGGAACATTCAGTGCCTATATGCAGACACTGAATGGCGGTGCTGCACACTGTGTAGCGCTGGACTAAGAAGCACCCTGAAGCCGTCTGAGTTATTGTCACTGGGGGGGGTCACTAGGCAGCAATGTAAGCACTGCCTTTTCATACATTAGCCATACAAAGCCTGCAGGGATAGGCTACAGACACCAGAGCCACTACATTAACCTGTAGTTGTTCTGGTGATATAGTGCCCCTTTAAGAATTGTATTTTTGTCGTTGAAAATGAGGAGAGAAAAAGAAAACCTGGCTCCTCATTTTTTGTGCTGACTCCTAGATTCCAAGCAAATTTGCCAAGCCCTGGGTTAAATCTCACACTCTTGGAGACAGCATTATGTCGCTCTGCCACTCTATTTCTCTTCTTAGTCTGAGGCTTCACACAGGGAGGCTCAAACCAGTCACACTTGAGGGTGTCAGCTGTGTGTGGGATTAAACTGCTCATTAACTGGTTAACCCTTTAAGGTAAGAGTACCCTGAGACCTGGCAACAGAACAACTTCACTGTTAATGGTCAGATTGGGCAGATGGAAAAGTAGCATTTGGTTCTTTATGGGCTAAAACAGGGACACCTGACAATTGTGAACAGTTTGTGAGACTTGGTACAGCATCAGTGCATTCGTATTAGCTCGCTACCATTTTAAAAATATCCCCAACTGGGCTATCACTTACATAGGTAATGGTGCAGCTGTTGGGTTATCAATAGACACAGTGAGAATTCCTCCATTGCTCATAGATGTTCTCCATCTAATGCAAATAAAAGGTGAGGTAACAAAAACAAGAAAAAACAAAAACAAAAAACGTGATCAATAAAGTACAAATCACATACCACTTCAGTAAGCCACTGTTTTATTTATATCCCTGCATATTAGGATTTTTTTTTTTTAACTCCTAAAGAAACCGCTTATTTTCCCCTAATTTTGTTTTTTTAGATTAAATATTAAACGGAATACATGTAAAACTGTTGTATTTGGTACATAGGATTCTTATAAAACAAAAGCACGAAACTCTAAATTTGACTAAAGGAGTACTCACGGCTGTGTGCTGTTTAGATCTTGCAAGTCTATATGCTGATCCCTGTCCATCTGAGTTTGGACCTATATCGTAAACAAAACAAAAACGAATATATAAAAATCAAAACAGTAAACCTGTATATCAACTACCTGCAATGTAAAACCTTGTAACAGTTTTTTACCCACACCTCTATATGTGTAGTCAAGGTCTTTACACTGTATTTCTAATCATCAATAGCTACTTTGCTAGCACTATCATAAATAGTCTTTATTTTATTGGACCAATTACCTTCAATCCTCGTCTGAAGAAGAATGTGGCCTGTCGACTTTCTCTTTGATGGTTCATTCTGAATCCACTTCTAAAAGTGTTAGTTTGGGTATAATTGCTGTAACAAACATGTATTGAGGACAGTGTATTATATTCAAACAGATTCTCTTCATAGAAGCTCAAGAGTGTCTATAAGGTTACATCAATATAGATCTATAATATTTTGTTAAAAGATAATCGTTCTAGATATATATTTTGATTTTCTAGATTTTGTGTACCTAGACATAAAATACGTTTTCGTTATACGTCTTACCTACTAAAATAATACCTTTGTAGAGAAGATACAGGTTTATTCTCAAAGTCCGGCGGACTTAAATAATTCATTCTCCTTCTAAATGGCAGCGGGTGACCCGATGAATTCTAAAAGTAAAATATATTTCAAAAAAATATTTAAATAAATATTTTAAAAACAACACAGCAGGAGATTAGGAGCACTGTATATGGACTTAATAGGATGATAAAAATGTAATCAAACATTGTATGAAATTTCAGGAGAAACTTTTACGAGAAAGGGAAAAAGAAACAACTGTTACACATCTGAGTGTTTAGCCACACGTGTTCTTTTTATATGTGCCTTTTCATGAAGATGGATTTTGAAAATTTCTGTGAAATTCCAAAAGCTATACACGACACAAAGAAGGGAATAATCGGTTGCATGGAAAGACAAATTGCCAAAATGTGGAAAAGGATTATCACTGCAATGTCCTGTTATTTCCCACCAACAGTCAAACATTACTGCGAATAGAAACAGGCATTGCACAGCGCACAATATAGGGCTATGACATCTTATCAAGGAACATTATCTTTAAAAAAGATCCCTACCATAGACTCTGCTAACTCCCTGGCTAAAAACAAAAAAAACACAAAGCAACTTAAAAAGGGACAATATGGACCCTAAAGCACTATAACCTGCTGAAGTGCTGTGTGTGAAAAGAGAGTTTCCTAATTTGTGCATTTACATTTTTTTATATGCAGATTTGAATAGAAATTGCTACTTTTAGAAATTAACCTGGCTATCAATCAGTACTTCTTGGTTTGATTAGCTCAGTGGAGCTAATCTTAAAAGGGAACAATTGCCAAGATGACCTGCCTTGCAAAGACTTCTCATTAACCTGCACTGGGAAGTCTGTAATTGAACAGCCACAGGAAGTCTAGGTGGGTTAGATGGTGAGGGCTTGCAGTTGTACCAGACAAGAGAACAGCAGCTTTTGCAAGCTGTGTTTTTAAATATACCATAAAAAGTGCATAATAAAATGTATGTTTTCATTTGGGGTATTTTTGTTTACTAAACATAGATTTTATAATTGCAGCTTATATAATCTATACTTGTAAAAACATCTTGTTAATGTTTATTTCTCATTGCAAAGCAAGAAGCTGACTATTAAACAGTGTTACAAAATTCTTACCCTCACACCGAGTGGAAGGCGGCTCATGGAGCTGAAGCCATTCCAAGACGACATCTTTCTTACTGCCAGTCCGGTTTTGACGCCATATGGTCGTCGCTTCAAACCAGGAGCCCTAACGTTGCTGCCAGCCACTTTAAACATGAAACACGAGAGATCACAGTAGAAAAAAAAATAAAAAGGTGCACTCAAATTTAGAAGGCAATATAAATATATATAAAATATCTCTATAGTACCTTAACGTAGTCATCATCCAAAAGGACCAAGGTGCTGCACAGCGTGGATATACAAAATGAATAAATGAGAGCACTCAATGGATTTTGTTCAATCAAATTCGTGTTGTGGTGAAGAGATCAACATTTTGATTGAACAAAATCTATTGAGTGCTCTCATTTATTCAAAAAAAAAAATAATATATATATATATATGTATCTCCATCCTGCACTCCAACTAAAAGAGTTTTTTAAGTTACCCGGTGCTCTGGTTGCTCAATAATATAAAAATGAAAAAAAATATACCGGCACTCCAAGGATTTTCAATAAGTCTTCTTTAGTCTGAGAAATACATCAACGTTTCAGCTCCCCTAAGGAGCTTTCATCAGGAGTGTCCTGATGAAAGCTCCTTAGAGGAGCTGAAACGTTGATGTATTTCTCAGAATAAAGAAGAAGACGTATTGAAAATCCTTGGAGTGCCAGTATAATATATATATATAAAAATTATAATAAGATATATGCATAGATATACATATTTTCAAATTTTTTAACATTACAGCCTTATTCTACAATTTACATTTTTTTCTTTTTCCACGTCAACATGAGCTCAATACCTCATAATAACAAAACATACCAAATTTTAAAAAAGTGAAAAAACCATATTGACACAAGTATTTAGATTCTTAATTCAGTACTTTGGCAGCGTTCACAGCATCAAATCTCTTTGGTTAAGATGCAACAAACCTTGCACATATGGTGCAAAGTTTATCCTAATTTTTTAAGGAAATATTGCACTATTATAGTTTCCTGTTTCTGAGATACCAGACACTGTATAACAGAAAGATTTCATAGACATACAAAGTACGTATATATGATTTATGTGTGACCTCACTTATGGGCTATACTATGTTCTAAGCGCTGTCATCTCTCTCTTGTTTTTTTACACCTTGTTTTCTGCCATTCATCTCTGCATATCCTCTGAAGTCCTATCAGACTTGATGGGGACCATCTGTAAACAGCCATTTTAGGGCTCTCCAAAATAAGTTTAATTGGGTTAACTTCTGGGTTCTGGCTGGGGCATTCACAGAACTCTTGGCTATTTGCTTATGGTCTTTGTCCTTTTAAAAAGGTGAATGGTAGGCTTATCCTAAGATCCTGTGTGCTGTGGACCAGATTAAGATACCTCTGGAATTTTGATGCATTCAGCTTTCCCTCAACCCCAACCAGTCTCCCAGCCCCTGACTCTGAAAGACACCCCTATAACATGCTGCTTTCACCACCATCATTCACTGTTGGGATGATATTGTGCAGGTGATAAGTGGTGCCTAGTTTACTCCACACAAAAGTTTTAAAACCGTTTAATCTTTGTTACATGAGACCAGAGAATCTGGTTTCTCAAAGTCTCAGATTCCTCTAGGTGCTTTTGTGTGTGCAAATTTTAAACGGGATCTCATATGTGTTGCAGTGAACACAGGGTTCCATCTGGCCAGTCTACCATAAAGGCAAGACTGATGGAGTGCTGCAGTGATGGTTGTTCTTCCACAAATGTCACTAATCTCTACACATGATCTCTGAAGCTCACCCAGAATGACCACTGGGATTTTTGTTACATCTCTTACCAAGGCTCTTCTCCCTGATTGCTCAGTTTGGCAAGGTGGCCAGCTGTAATTAGAGAACGGATTGTTCCAAACTTCTTCCATTTAAGAATTATGGAAGCCAGTGTGCTCTTCAATGCAAGCAATTCATTTGCTCTCATGGCTTAATTTTTGCTCGGATATGCATTTACCGCTGTGAGACGCTTTATAAATAGGTGTGTGTCTTTCAAAGGCATTGCCTATTAATTGAATATGCTACAACTGGACTCCAATAAAAAAAAAAGAAAAAAAAAGGGGAGAATCATCTTAAAGATAATTCTGAAAAATTTCAAGTGCCATAAAAAGTGGTCTGAATACTTATGATAAAGTGATATTTCAGGTTTTTCTTTTTTATAAACTTTCAAAAACCTGCTTTTTGCTTTGTCATTAATGGGTATTGAGTGCAGAATGAGGACTGATCACTGTACAAATATACACACTTTTTTATTACTACGCGAGTCATATTTTAATATTTCCACAACGTAACATAAGGAAACTACATTTGTCAAAAATAAAGCTAAATTGATTTAAAATTATGCCAAACCACAATGTAAAACACATAGTATCTTCACAATTTTATATTCTTAAACACTGACCCTCCTGCTGCTGTACTGTGCCCCACAGATGAGGAAGTCAACTTCACTGTGCCTGATGGGAAATCCCCACTCCACCATTTTTGGTAGTGTAAAAAGGAGCAACTGGCTCGTTGGCATAGCGTGGGTTAATTAGCAAATCCAAGCAGGGAGTTAAAGAAACCTGTGCCTCACTAGAAAACTTCATCTTGCTGAATAACTATCAGGTAAGTGTCACTGCCAATGAAGTTAAGTAATCAGTAAAATGTATTGGTCCCTAACTTCACCAATATAAACATTTACCTTTGTAAACGTAGCTAGTCAGTAATGTGCATCTCCTTGCACCCTCTGCTTTCTAAGCTTTGAGAGGCTAGGATGTTTTAAAAAAAAAAAAAAAAAAAAAAAAACCCTTAAAATTGGGCATGATAATTTCTTTAAAAAGTGGTGTGCATACACTATTTGATGCCGGTGCTTCAAAAGACCTCACTGTTTTATTGGGTATAAATCTAGAAAAAGCTAATGTATTGTTAGATGCCCAAAATCATTAAAAGATACCTGAATAATGCCGAGCTCCGAATCTACCCCAGTTTTTAAACTGCGGGTAAGGACTGAACTGTGATCTTCCATTAAAGGTTTTCTTTTGCTCCTGCTTGTTCAGTTTGATGATATCATCTGTAAAACAATAGCATTGCAGCATTTAGCATATCACAAATGTTCAGGATAAGATTAACATTGAGTTGTCGTGATAACACAATTGCACTAGTGGCTTTGATTTCTAGAGTCCAAAAGAATGCAAAAGCCCTAACAAGCTAAAAAGATCATTCTAGTGAAAATTTCAGCCACAAAATAGGTTATCTAGTAATGTCCAACATATACTAGATTTAAATCTAAAATTACAAAACTGAAGCTTTAAATTAACCAAGTTGCTGTGGCTATAGCAGACGTGGAGTTTATTTTAGCATCCGATAAGTATGAAATTTGCAATTCTGATTTCAACTTTGTACACTATGGAGTTCAGTGAAGAAACATTAAAGTAATGAGGAAAAATTGAGTTTATTAAACTGTAGTAGTGTAAAATCCAAATCGCAAAATGTAAGTTAAAATAGCCAAAGCAGAACTATAGCAGTGTTACTGAATTTGTCCAAATCAGTTGTTTTTATGCCTAAACATTGCAATTTGATTATCAATTCACTATGTTTTTGTTAACCCCTTCAGGACGGGTGACGGACGAGGTCCGTCACACAGGGGAGACCCTTAACGACGGGTGACGGACCTCGTCCGTCACGCGGTAAAATTAACCCCGGATCGCCGCGATCGCGGGGTTAATGGTGCTCCCGGTATGCCTCCGCATTGGAGGCATACCGGGAGCACCCGGTCAAGCTGCCCAGCACATGTGCTCGCTCTGACCACAAGTCGGAGCGAGCACATGTGCTCTGAATACTTACCTACCGGCTCCCTGCACTTCCGGGTTCTGTGTGAAGTGCAGGGAGCCGGATCAGTGCTGATCCTGCCCCCTGCTGTTTAAAAAAATAAAGTTTATTTAAAGTCCCCCTTACCCATTTTAATAAAAAATTAACCCCTTCCCTGCCAATTGATCACTGACTACAGTGATCAATTGGCAGGGATTACATTTTACTATGATCTGATTTTTTTTTTTAACCCCTGAGGGTTAATTCTTTTTTTTTTTTAACCCTCAGGGGTTAAATTAATTAAATTAATTAATTAAATTATTTTTAAATTATATATTTAGATAGCTGGGGTAGGTGGAAGTTAGTGGGGAATTGGGGGATTTGGCGTTAGGCTAACTAGGGGTTAACGTTAAAAAAAAGTTTTAAAAGAAACTTTAAAAAGTTAAAAATTAAGCTTAAAAAAATGTTTTAATAACATTTAAGTAATAAAAACAAAAAAACACACTTTACCTAGTCCAAATAAAAATTAACCCCTTCCCTGCCAGTCGATCACTGCCTACAGCGATCAAATAGAGATCACAGTATTATACTGTGATCTAATTTTTTTTAACCCCTGAGGATTAACTTTTATTTATTTTTTTAACCCTCAGGGGTTCAATTTATTTAATTAATTAATTTAAATATTTTATAACTATATATTTTGCTAGCTGGGGTGGGTGGGAGTTATGGGAAATTTACTGTTAGTGCTGCGTACTGCTAGTTAGGGGTTAACAGTAAAAAAAATAGCTTAGAAAAATGTTAAATCTGTAAAAAAGTTTTAAGAAAGTTTAGGAAAGTTTAAAAAAAATTTATAAGCAAAACAAAAGTTTAAAAACTAGTTTTTAAAAGTAAAAAAGTTATAAAAAGTAAAAAAATACATTTTAAAAACGCTCATTACCACTACACCTGGAACAAACTAGAGAAAAAATTATCCCACGCCAAGGTTCAAAATATGCCTTTTGAATTACCCCAGGGTGTATTCTTTAATAAATAGTATGTGTTTGTGGGGAAGTTTCAATAACCAACCGTCTAAACTATTCCAAATTGGAACATGGACACAGCGTAAAACTTCAAAGTTAGAAAAAAACTGAATGGCTGCGTCTCAAATGCGCCCCTTCAACATCCACATATACCTGGCAAAGGTACATACGGGGGTATTGCTGTACTCAGCCGACATAGCTGAGCAACATATGAAGTATTATACAGTCATAGTACACATAAGGTTTGCAAAATATGCTGCGCAAACTCACTTTGTATGTCAAAAAGGCAGAAAAAATGCTTATTACCACTACACTTGGTACAAGCTAGCGGAAAAATGATCCCACGCTAAGGTTCAAAATATGCCTTTTGAAATACCCTGGGATGTCTTCTTTAAGAAATGGTATGGCTTTATGGGGAATTTGGATTATATAGCCTGGTAAAATACTCTAAAATGGGACATAGGCACAGCATAAAAATTCAAAGTTTGAAAAAAACTGGAATGGCTGTGTCCCAAATGTGCCCCTCCGATGTCCACACATACCTGGCAAAGGTACATACGGGGGTATTGCTGTACTCAGCCGACATAGCTGAGCAACATATGAAGTATTATACAGTCGTAGCACACATAAGGTTTGCAAAATATACTGTGCAAACTCACTTTGTATGTCAAAAAGGCAGAAAAATGCTTATTACCACTACACTTGGTACAAGCTAGCGGAAAAATGATCCCACGCTGAGGTTCAAAATATGCCTTTTTGAAATACCCTGGGATGTCTTCTTTAAGAAATGGTATGGCTTTATGGGGAATTTGGATTATATAGCCTGGTAAAATACTCTAAAATGGGACATAGGCACAGCATAAAAATTCAAAGTTTGAAAAAAACTGGAATGGCTGTGTCCCAAATGTGCCCCTCCGATGTCCACACATACCTGGCAAAGGTACATACGGGGGTATTGCTGTACTCAGCCGACATAGCTGAGCAACATATGAAGTATTATACAGTCGTAGCACACATAAGGTTTGCAAAATATACTGTGCAAACTCACTTTGTATGTCAAAAAGGCAGAAAAAACGCTTATTACCACTACATCTGGTACAAGCTAGCGGAAAAATGATCCCACGCTAAGGTTCAAACTATACCTTTTGAAACACCCTGGGGTGTCTACTTTAAGAAATGGTAGGCCTTTGTGGGGTAGATTGAATTTAAAACCTGCGAAGATGCTTGGAAATTGCACATAGGCCCAGCGTCAAAATTCAAAGTTTGGTAAAAACGGATATGGCTTGGTCTCCTATATGGCACTGTAGCTTCACAAAATAGTGACAAAGACATTCATTGGGGGTGTATTTTTACTCAAAAGACTTAGCTGAGCATAATTTGGGAGGTTTGAACTTAGTGGCACATATGAAATATACAAAACGCCCAGCAAAAATGCAATCCGTATGTAAAAAATGCACAAAATAATTTTTTTACCACATACTTTGGCATATATTGGTGAAAAAATGGGGGTATGTTAAGGCACAATATGCACCTTATGAGATACCCTGGAGTGTCTACTTTTACAAATGGTAGGCCTTTGTGGGGTTTTTTGAACAGTCAAACTGTTATAATACCCCAAATGGAAGCTAAGGCTCATTAAATCCATCTCTCAAAATTCTACTGTGAATACTGTAAAGGACAGGTCTCCTATATGGCACTGTAGCTTCACGAAATAGTGCCAAAGACATTCATATGGGGTGTCATTTTACTCAGAAGACTTAGCTGAGCATAATTTGGGGGGTTTGAACTTAGTGGCACATATGAAATATACAAAACGCCCAGCAAAAATGCAATCCGTATGTAAAAAATGCACAAAATTTTTTTTTACCACATACTTTGGCATATATTGGTGAAAAAATGGGGGCATGTTAAGGCACAATATGCACCTTATAAGATACCCTGGAGTGTCTACTTTTACAAATGGTAGGCCTTTGTGGGTTTTTTTTGAACAGTCAAACTGTTATAATACCCCAAATGGAAGCTAAGGCTCATTAAATTAATCTCTCAAAATTCTACTGTGAATACTGAAAAGGACAGGTATCCTGTATGGCACTGTAACTTCACGAAATAGTGCAAAAGACATACAATGGGGGTGTCATTTTACTCAGCAGATATAACTGAACACAAAATAAAACTTTGTACAGGAATAGCACACACCAACTTCACAAAATATACACGAGAATTTCTCTGTTATAAGTTTGTGTGCCAAAAACCAAAAAGAACACAATTTTACTCCAATATTTAGCAGAGGTTGGCGGTAATATGGCTACGTAGAAAGTGTCAAAACAACCTTAGGTAAATAGCCCGTGATGTCTACTTTATATAAATATATACTTTTGTGTGGCAATTTTGTTTTCTTTTATGGCTATTAAGCTTACAAGACAAACATACCAAATTCTAAAATCGCTCCACATTAAAATTTTATTTTACTCCTTGTGCTTTGTGACCTGTAACTACCAAAAAAAACTTAAAATCCCAGACACATTATATATTCTGTAAATCAGAACAAATAAATAAATTTATTTTCAATTACTTTCCTTAACCTGCACTAATTATGCACACATTATTATTGCAAAAACTGTAAAAAAAACCAATATTTTTCATTTTTTTTGCATTTTTCTGTATTTTTTTTATAATAAGTAAGCATTTATATATATATATGTTATATCAAATTAAAGCCCTTTCTGTCCTTTAAAAAACAGTATATAATATGTGTCGGTGCAATAAATGAGAGAGATGCAAATTGCAGTTGAACGCAAACAGCAAGAAAATGCAAAAATTGCTTGTGTCATTAAGCGTAAGTCAAGCTTCTGAAGCTGTGTCCTTAAGGGGTTAAATATACAAGCACTACTACCTTGGTAAACAAACCAAAAAAAAAAAAAAAAGTGAAAAGCCATGAAAAGACAGGTTTGACAGGGGTGTGCACAGGGTATAGATGACACACTCCTTTTCAGGAATCCTTCTCCCACCCACCCCCCATTACTATGCAAATTCTAGGTGTCAGTTTGGGAAACAGATGTACACATAAGGCATGGTAGGCAGGTGGAGTAATCGTATTAAAAAAAAAAAAAATCTGTCACACTGGGGCATGTATTTTAATACTACTAATACCCACTTAACACCTATGCATTTCATCTCCAGAACAATTTACAGGCATTAAAGGAAAACAAAACAATTGTATTATTGAACGGTCCTGATTTAGTAACTTCTCATCTCAAAATTCCAATTAGCCTCACTTCCAGCTGCCATCACCCATTTAGGAATTGACCAATCTTTAATAAAAAGCAGTTCATTTCAAGAAATGAGGAGAGATACTAAGATGGTTTCCACTGATTCCAATTTAGAACGTAAACCTTCCATATACAGCTAGTAAACACAAAAAACCAAAACAAAACACCCTATTCTTCAGGAAATGCTATATACCAGTGATAATCAACTTTTGGCACTGCAGCAGCTGTGCACTACGTTTCCCATGATGCTCAGCCAGCCAGCCAGCATCATGTAGAGAGTCAGTTCCCAAAAGCCGAGCATGCCAGAGGTTGCCCATCACAGATATATATCTAGCGGATAATGCAGGTCCCATGCAGGCACTTGTCCAGCTCGGCGCTGTATCCCCATACTGTAAGCCAGCCCAGCGCGGTATATACAGCTCGGTGAGCGGATTACACCCCGGGGAGCCCTCCTGGCAGCCCGTGCAAGCTCTCACCCAGGGACATGTCGATCTTGTCCATGGTTTCGGGCAGGCTGGCTTTGTGTGGCACCATTTCGAATCCCCTCCAATAGCCCTTTTCAGCAGCACCAGTCCGGATGTGTCACCGCCGCAAGGCTCCCAGCTGTTGACACGCTGTCTCGGCGAGCGCCTTAAACTCCGAGCCCGAGGATGCTTCGGCTCAGTTTCTAGGCCCAGACCCGCTGCTTGGCGACCTACTTACATCACCGGACGCTCTGCGTGCTGACGTCACGGGACGCGGCGGCCATGTTTGAAGCCGCAGTCAGGTTTGCCCTCAGCCTGAGTCCTGCACAGAGCTGGCCATGTGTGCTTGGTGGCTGTGTGTCAAATGGTGTCTGTACCCATTGGGTAAACATGGCAAACCACTGCTTGGGGGCTACTTTTTATTCTGCTACTTTAGCTGCACCAGATGAACTCCCACATACCCATTGTACAGCGCTACGGAATTATCTGGCACTATATGTCCACAACAAGAGGACATAGTCTTAAATTAGAGGGACAAAGGTTTAAAAATAATATCAGGAAGTATTACTTTACCGAGAGGGTAGTGGATGCATGGAATAGCCTTCCAGCTGAAGTGGTAGAGGTTAACACAGTAAAGGAGTTTAAGCATGCGTGGGATAGGCATAAGGCTATCCTAACTATAAGATAAGGCCAGGGACTAATGAAAGTATTTAGAAAATTGGGCAGACTAGATGGGCCGAATGGTTCTTATCTGCCGTCACATTCTATGTTTCTATATAACTAATAAAATAATTATAATAATGATATGCTCCAGTGTACAAATAACCAAATTCAAAGTCACTTTAAGATGTCTGAACATTATGAAATTAATGGGAGATTGCTAATAAGATGTTTTTTTTTATTTTTTATAATTCTTTATTTGTGTAATTTTGCATTAATATGGGTAAGAAGGGAGGGGTTACAGAAAAGAGGATGGAGGGGGGTAAGGGTAGTCTGATGCAATTTACAAAGTTGGTGTTAGTACCATCGCAGGGTATTTTAGCAGGCATAAGTTTACAGTTACATAGGAGCATGCAGTGTTTCTTGGTGGTAGAGATGCCATCATTGGTTAAATTTTACAGATGAGGTCATTTTGCGTGGTTGGTTGTATCGTACCAGTATGTTGCTAAATTTTCACGGATTTCGGTATTCAGTCACTGCGTTGCCTGGATATAGATGGCTGTGGCGATTGTTTGATGTTGTAGGTACCCTTGTGGGGGTTGGTAGCCTGCATTGTTATTTGTTTGCATAGGTGGGTGTTTGCAACGGTGAGTCGGTTGGGGTCGTTGCAAGGAATGTCATTATCGTGGTGTTTCATGTCTTTTTGCTCTTATTGGTGTTGCAGCCTTGCGTGTTGGGTATAGAGATGTCGCGAACTCTCCGCTGGCGAACAATAGCGTGTTCGCGTTGGGCGAACATATCCGATTTCCGGTCCGCCCCCTATACGTCATCATTGAGTAAACTTTGACCCGGAACCTCAAAGCCAGCAGACACATTCCACCCAATCAGCAGCAGACCCTCCCTCCCAGGAAGTGACTGCTGACTGTGAGGTTCCGGGTCAAAGTTTACTCAATGATGACGTATAGGGGGCGGACCGGAAATCGGATATGTTCGCCCAACGCGAACACGCTATTGTTTGCCGGCGGGCAGTTCGCGAACAGTTCGCCAGACAGTTTGCGACATCTCTAGTTGGGTAGTGTAGGGTATCTGTGTTTCGTCATCGTGGAGGTGTTCAGTGTTCCTATGTCTGTCTAGGGCACTTCTGTATCCTGCTTTGTTGTTGTACGTGGGGGTGAGTGGGGTGGGGTATGGGTTTCATGAGTTCGGGAGTTTGGGCTTGGGTGACAGTTCGCGGATCGCCCGGGGCGCTCTGTGTGGGTTACGGGGTAGGCTGTATGGTGCAAAGATGATTGTGTGCTGTGGTTGCTTACGTGGCTAGGTGTGTTGGTTTTCCAGGTTTTCTCAGGGGGTGTTGGTCTGTTTGTGTATAGGTTTTACCATGGTATGGTTGTGTCCCCCTCCAGCCATGGGTCTCATATTTTGTGGTACTGTTTAGGTGAATCGTGTACTTGTGCTGTGAGTTTATCCATGTGTGAGCTGTCAATTATCTTTCTCAAGATCATTTCTTGTGTCGGGATACGGGTTGTGGACCATAGTTCTGCTATGGCCCTTCTTGTTACCAGGGCTATACGGGCTATTATTTTGTTTTCGGCTCTGGTAAATGTATCTATTGGCTTGGAGAGTAGAAGTGCCCAGGGGCCTGTGGGGCAGGGTTTGTACAGTATTTTGGCGATCAGCTGTGTGACGCTGTGCCAGAGAGGTTGGAGTTTTGGGCACGTCCACCAGCAATGTAGGAACGTGCCCTTTTCCCCGCATAGTTTCCAGCAAATGTTGGTCGGTAGTTGGTGCATAGTGGCGAGGCGTTGTGGTGTGAGGTACCAGCGGAATAGCATCTTGTATGCCTGTTCCTTGTGCGTGACACATATTGATATGGATGCCGTTGCTTCCCATATGTCTGACCAGTCGTTGGCTTCCTCAGGGGGGCCTAGATCTGTTTCCCATGCTGCTATGTATGGGAGGGCCAGTTGTGTGTGGTGGTTGGCTAGTGTCATGTACATGTCAGAGATTTGCCCTTGCCTTTTAGGATGCTTTGTGCAGTCATATTCGAGTGAGTGGGGCTGTACCGGCTTGTCATATGATCGGGGGTGCTGCGAAGCTGCGTAATTGTATGTATCGAAAGTGATCAAAGGTTGTGAGGGAGGATGAGTCTTTAATTTCTGAGAATTGTATGATGGTATCATTTTGGTAAAGGTGTCCTAATCGTGATATGTCTTGTTGCTCAAAGTGGGCGAAGTGTTTTGGGGTGAGTCCTGGTGGGAATAGCTTGTTCCTCTAGATTGGGGTCATGGGGGAGAGGTAGGAGGATAGCTCAAATTTGTCTCTTAGCTTGTCCCAGAGGTCGAGTGCGTGTGTGATCACGGGTGCGGTCGTGGGGGGTAAGGGTTTAGGTGTCCACATGTATAAGGACGGGTGATCTCAGCCGAATATCAGGTGTTCTAAGTCCACCCATCGTTTTTCCCCTGGTGGGACATGCCATTGTTGTATCTGCGCTAAGTGCGTTGCTGAGTGATAATGTACTAGATTAGGTAGTCCTAAGCCTCCGCATTTCTTGGGCACATATAGAGTGCTCCTGCGTATTCTTGGCTCGTGGCCGTTCCAGACAAATGTGTCTATTGCTGATTGTAAGGTTTTGAAGTCTTGTTTGTGGATTGGAATTGGGAGTGTTTGGAAGAGGTACAGGAATCTGGGAAGGAGGTTCATTTTGATGGAGGCGATGCGTCCCAGTCAGCAGATTCCTAAGGGTCTCCACTTTATCAGGTCCTCGTGGGCTCTCCTAAGTAGTGGAGTGTAGTTTCTTGCATATAAGGTGTTCGTGTCTGCCGGTAGTTTAATACCTAGGTATCCTATTTCTGTATGGCAGATTCGCAAATGGACTGTTTGTGTGATTCTAGTTAAGCTCTGGGGTTGTATTTGTATCGGTAGATAGGCTAGGTATGGGTTTAGTCTATTAGCCATGACTTTGGTCATGATTTTGAGGTCTACATTGAGCAGCGAGATGGGTCTGTAGTGAGCGGGGTCAGTGTGGTCTTTTCCCGGTTTGGGGAGGAGGCAGATGTTTGCGTTAGTGAAGTCAGCTGTGAGAATAAGATGGTATTTTGTCACCTGTCCTTTAGCAATATTATATTCTACTTCCCCGCCATCGTGCTGGCACTATGGTTGCCATCTTTTTGTGAAAAATTACCTGCTTTTCTAATTTGCACGATCAATTATATGTGCATGATATTACAGTAGGTAACTTCACCTGATGTTATGTTAAATCTCAGGGAGTGGCATAAGAGAAAATAAAAATGTTTGGATTTGGTAAATTCTCTATTTCTAAAAAAACTACTTACATTGTGTGTACTGTGTCTGACAGTCAGTGTAGTAGTGCAGAGTGTCACTGTCTAGCTGTATGTATAACACTGTGTTATATAACTTTTGTAGCCACTTACACAGCTCAAGGCCTGTGCTCCCTGACCCCTTGGGTCAGCCCTGAGTCCGTCCATAGGATGCAAAGCCAGTTCTACCCACAATGATGCAGTGCATGGTATGTAAGGGATGTAGCATGTATGTATACTAAATGCACAGTATGTATGTGTCGTGGATGCAGTGTGTGTAGTGCCAGCAGAGTGTGTACACAAGTCTTTCAAGGATCCTGGACACAAAAGGCAGAAGCGAGATAGGACGGTAGTTGGACGGGGAGTTAGGGTCAAGGTTGGGCTTTTTTAGAATCGGGGTTACAGTCGCATGTTTGAAAGGTAATGGAAATATGCCAGGTGAGGGGGAGAGATTGAGAATTTTAGTGAGAGGCAAAGTAAGAGAAGGAGACAGAGTACAGATGAGATGCCAGGGAATAGGATCAAGGGAGCAGGTGGTGGGGCGGGAGGACCAGAATAGATCAGAAACCTCTTCCGCTGTAGCGGGTACGAATGCAAATAGAACAGCGGAGGGAGTGAAGTTGGGGGAAGTATTGGAAGGGGAAGGAAAGAGATGAGAGTTCATTGTGTATTGCAGAAATGCCATGCAATTTTTAATGCCTGCCTCTATGCACATCCAGTAAGATGTTTCCTTATTGTATTTGTTTTTTTTCTTTGGATCTTATTTTCTCTAAGTGCATCTTAGTGCATAAATCGTGTCTATTACATATGCCAAAGCAGTTACCGATTAATATGCAAAATGTCTAAGAGAATGCACCACATAGCTCAAAGTTCCTACTGTATAATCTACAATGCGACCTATGTCCTTACATAGACCACAACAAAGCTGTACACTTTACTGACCTGTCTAACAAGGCTAGGTGACGTGCCATGAATGCTATTGTATTGCCATTAGATGCTTATCATCAGGGCCGTCTTTAATATTGATTGGACCCTGGGCAAGCATCTGCTTGGGCCCCCTGGGCATGCAATCACTCCCTCCACCCCAACCTAGAGGCAAAACTAATGTAGAGAGTGCCTTGGTGCAAAAAAAAGATAATTCAGGCCTGCCCTGTAGCACAAGAGTAAAGAAAAGATAGATCCCCATCTGTCATACAACTCCTGCGATGCTATGCCAGGTGGGGATCTACCATCCTTGCAGGGTTGTATTTTTGAGCAGTGTTTGTGCAATTGAATGTCAGCATGTTATTGTATAGAATGTAT